ATATAGCTATGTAGATCTGCATTTGGTCCCTGGTCACCTCTTCTCGATGACCTACTGATTTTGCTCTTTTCTTCCCTCCTCCAGGTCAGTGGCTCAGAAAGTATGAGAACTATAGCCAGCCTGGCAGCTAGAATTTTCAGAACTTTTAAAAATTTGTTTAAAAGTTCCACTTTACTTAAGGGTAGCCAGCTAAGCTCTAGAGAGCTGCATTTTGCTCCTGGTCCATAAGCTGTTCACCACTTCTCTATGAGTTACTGATTTTGCTCTCATCTTCCCTTCTCCTTAAGCCGTGTGTTCCCCGATAAGTCTTCCCTCCTACTTGCTTCTCTTGACCTGGCTTCTGAGATTGCCAGCAGAAGCCCTGTGGCTGTTCAAGGAACCAAAATCAACCTCATATATTCCCGAGATCACTCAGTGCAGGAGAGTCTGGATTACATGGTGAGTACTAATCTCTGGGCAGAGTTCCCTGGGACCATTCTTTTATCAGACCACTAACATGGCTGTGTTCTCTCTGTCATAGGCTAACTGGAACATGAGCATGCTGCAGACCCAGGACATCATGAAATCTGCACAGTCTGTTTTAGAAAAGAAGAGCCCGAAAGACATTCGTTTTTCTAAACTGTAATAGTAGCCCCTCAGCATCAGACAGGACAGTTAACACTTAAACTGACTGAGACTGTAATAATTGTCTCTGATAGACCATATCATTAGAACTACAGGTAGACATGATAATGATAAAATGTATCTGCACCACAAAAATTGGTCTGAACGCCTAAGGAGTTTTGGAAAATGTTCTTTTTAAAATCCCTTAGAGGTGCGGTTAATTAAAGAAAACCTGAATTTAACTGTCCATGTTTTCCTTAGGAACTAATCAACTTTTATCTAGTGCAGGTTAGAAAATGAGAACTAATATGATAATAGTTAGTGTGAGCAACACAGACACTTTCCTTTCTTCAGCCTTCAAAAGCATCTTATCTAGTCTTTAAATTGAAATCTTTTTATAAGAACTCAGTGATCAATTATCAATTTCTATGGCAATATATGGAAGGATCTGTTGGTGTAGAAATGAACAACTGGACCATTAGGCGACATCTCTTCACCTGAAGTTCAATGTTGTGTAACAGGCTGAATTCATTTTCTTCATTATGAACAACAAAACTCTAATTCACACTTGATACCTCTCAGTTATTATGTTGTTTTTGAAGGTTTCTTCAAATGATTGGTACGAATTCCACTGATTGTTTTGCCGCTGGTTAATAAAAATGTAGTATGTACTATGTCTGTTCAAGTTCTAAACTTTTTTACACAAAATTGTCCGGATTACCATGTCTACTGTTTAATGCAGCAAGAACATTAACGGGAAGGAGGCTGTTTTTGTGCTTGGTGTCACTTTTATTTACATGTACATATGAGAGGAGGTGTTGATTCTAAGTAAATGTATTACATTTATCTCTTTTATCTATAACAGTCATTCTCAACCATAGGTCTGTGAAACCCAAGGTTTCCTCTAGAGGTTTCTAGGGGTTCCTTGAACTGTTGCTGGTTGACCTCCCATCTGTTGGTGCCTGCCTAGTTCCAAGGTTAATGGAACATGGAAGTGCCAGCAGTATGACACCAGTGATCCTGTTAGCTATGTGTAAGGAGGCATTCTTCTCACTGACCACCAATGTAGGGTGCATTCTGACCACCCATGTATTCCCAATGATCATAAATATAAGGTGCATTCTTCCCACTGACCACCAATGTATTTCCAAAGATCATAAATATAAGGTGACCCCCAGTTAATTGGTTTTCAAAGGGGTTTCATCAGACCTGAAATTATTTAAAAGGTCCCTCTGGGGTTAAACGGTAAAGAAAGGCTAATCTATAGGATCAGTTCATCAAGCTATAATTCATGTGTTGTTTGCCATGGCGATCATTACTTTCAGCCACATGACTGTTATTTTCAGCTCTCATCACTGAAAGTAATAGGTTTAATAGCAAATAAGAGTCATTATAGTTTAATCAATCAACCTTTGTGCATTAATTCTGTGTGTTTATATATCTGGCTTATTACTTGGCTATGATCGTTTGCTGGGCTAGTGTCTGATACTGTATTAACCTGTCATGAGGGAAATAAGGAGGTAGGAGGACCTCTCATTATGAAAATGAAAGATTCCTGGCTGGCATACTGATCCACCATTTCAAAAGTTTGAGGTAGTGATGTAGAATAGTAATAAAGACAAAGACTTCTGACTGTTGCAGGTCAGTGACCCCAAAAATATTGAATCCAGTGGCCAGGCAACTGGCTGTTTTAGGAGGAGAACAGTGGTGGTAGCCACCTTGACAGGTTTACTGTAATATCAGTGTATTGGGTGTCATAGCCCACTATTCCATGGTACTGAGGCAACATCTTGATAGCTTTAGAATTTGAGACGAGGGTTATTTAGCTGACCAATAGCGCTAATACCTTAAACGAAACCATTCTTTGCCTGTGCACTGTAAAGGAAGAGGTTTGTTTGTAAACCAACCGCTGCAGTACCTTATAATACTAAGAAGAAAAATTATTAAAAAAATAATAATCCCAAGAAAAGAAAAAATAAAAAAAATTAAAACCAACCTTGCCGCCCCCGCCATCTGGTTGCCATTCTTCATTAGGGGGAGGGTTTGGTGGGTAGGGGGGCGCATTGAGGAACCCAGGTTTGGGGCAGCAGAGAGAGTAAATCCAGCCCTGAGTGAGTCACATGCTTCTCTACAACCAAAAGTACCAGGTATTTATCTGTCTCTAAGTAAAGGCAGCTGCATAGGCCTGTATTAAAATTAACCTGTTTCCCTGCACTTTATTAGCTTAGCACAGGTTCACTTTAAACATCCCCAATAATGTTGTCTTTGGTGAGATACTTGTAGAGGTCCCAAATGTTTGAAGCAGTGCTGTAGGGTTCAGTGTTCCTTATTTCAGCACTGGGATTGATCATAATTATGGTAGGCAAGTCCCCACGCTCACCATTACATATTGAGCAAATACACCAGCATAGCAACAATCTGCAGTACATCTTGATAAAATTCTTGAAATATATATAACTGACGTGGAGATGATTGCTTTTTGCTTCAATGGAGGCTTAGCTTTGTATAATTGTCATGCAAACAATTTTGTCATTGAATGTAATTAGAAATGTAATTACCTTCCCCCAAAAAATGGGATAAGTCACTTATGTGTAGTATGGCAACCTAGAGGCGCTGTGAGCACTGTATGTAGTATCCCCCCAGAAATCTAATTGCCTGTTTGTGTGATTGGAGCACTGCTTTTTCCAAAAGTCTGCACTAAGCTACAAATCAAATTACAGGCATCTCCTGCAGTAGGATTTTAATTCGATATTTTTAAGGCTACTCGTTTGCTTTTTAAAAAATTGTATAAGGGATGGAAAATCACTAAATCAGCATTCTTCTAAATACAATTCTTATAAATTCTTCTTAATACAACTGAAACTAATCAGCTGGTTGTAATGAAGGCTGACCCTCCCATTCAGGAATCCGTTTGGGAAAGCTCAGGGTAAGTCTAGCCAGTGTTCCTTCAGAAGAGAGGGAAGTATAGAGCTGTAAAATAGTTTATAAGGGTCTGTTCACACAGGGCGTAAGGCTGCGGCTAGGGGTTCCTGTGGCAAGAACCTATGGATTATTGCCACAGGAATCCAAGGTTTGTCCGTGCAGATGCGGCTGCTGTGCCCATTCAAGTGAATGACAGGTTGACAGTGTCTGTATCTGTCACTGTAGATGGAACGATTACCTGCAGTTCAGGATAGATGAGTGTCCATGGACACTATCTGTCTGAGTCCAGGGTCAATCATCTATCCCGATCCACAGGTAATCACTCTATGTACGATTACATGCGGACAGCCACTGATACATGAGGCTGCTGTCAGCCTGTCATTCACTTGAACGAGCACAGCAGCTGCATCTGTATGAACCCACCTGGGGTTTCTGCCGGAATCCCTAGCTGCAGCCTTAAGCTCCGTGTGAATGTAGCCTTAAATCCTTGTGATATATACATTCTTTTTTTCTTGAAGGGATTGTTTTTTCTTAACAAAACTAAAAAAGCTAAATCTATCATAAATCAAATACGTGGACTGCCATTACTGCAAATGCTACTTGCTTGGCTAGCGCTAAGGAACACAGCGCTAAGGAATATTGAACTCTCTGACTTCGGATCAGTTACATTGAACTACTGAAGCCAGAAGACCGGAATTTTCATAAGGTGTGAAACAAACGCAGGCGCTGTATTTTTTCACATGATGCATTTCCTTTCAATGAAGGCAGGAGATCTCTTCTAAGAGAACATGTAATCTGAAAATGCTGACATAAAAAATGCCAGTTGCCTGTTTGTGTCACTGACCCGGAACAAGTATGACAACTGACTTCTGATTTCACCTGCTGCTTTCTGTTTACGGGGGAGTGACATTCAGTACTGTGCAAAAGTTGTAGGCAGGTGTAATAAAATGCTGCAAAGGAAGAATGCTTTCATAAATAAAAGTGTTAATAATTTATTTTTATCAATTAACAAAATGGAAAGTAAATGAACAGAAGAGAAATCCCAATCAAATCAATACTTGGTGTGATCACCCTTTGCCTTCTTCTAGGTACACTTGCACACAGTTTTTGAAGGAACTCGGTAGGTAGGTTCTTCCAAACATCTTGGAGAACTAAACACAGATCTTCTGTGGATGTCGGCTGTCTCAAATCCTTCTGTCTCTTCATGTAATCCCAGACAGACTCCATGATGTTGAGATCAGGGCTCCGAGGGGGCCAAACCATCACCTCCAGGACTCCTTGTTCTTCTTTACACTGAAGATAGTTCTTAATGACCTTAGTTGTATGTTTTGGGTCATTGTCCTGCTGCAGAATAGATTTGGGGCCAACCATACACCTCCCTGATGGTATAGTGGTATAGTATGATGGATAAGTATCTGCTTGTATTTCTCAGCATTAAAGACACCATTGATCCTGACCAAATCTCCAACTCCATTTGCAGACATGAAGCCCCAGAATTGCAAGGAACCTCCTCCATGCTTCATTGTTGCTGCAGACATTCATTATTGTACTGCAATGAAATAATGAGTGTGCAGCGCTGTAGGTGTTTTATGTGTTACACATCTATTACGTGCTAAAATCCCTACAATTAGCACGTTAATAGATGTGTAACACATAAAACACCTACAGCGCTGCACACTCATTATTTCATTATCGTTAAAAACTATAGCGCAGCAGCTTTAACACTTAACCCTTCCATAAGCGCAGATTTCACATTTTTCAATTCATTATTGTACTGCTCTCCAGCCCTTCAGCAAACAGACTCTTCTGTTCATTTATTTTCCATGTTGTTAATTGATAAAAATAAACTATTAATACTTTTATTTCTGAAAGCATTCTTACTTTACAGCATTTTTTCACACCTGCCTAAAACTTTTGCACAGTACCTTATAATAAAAAGCAATAGTACAAAGTGCCCAGTGCTACAATAAAGTGCATATTGTGATTACCCACTAGAAATGCAGTATATGTGCATTACAACATGCTTATAAATGACATATTCACAAAAATAGAAATGCAATTATAATACATTAACTCTAGTTCGCATTCGTAAAACTTTCATAGTGTCCATATAAACTGTCAGTGACTTATACAAAGCTGTGTTAAACTTCCAAGATGATAACAAGATATAATAAAAAGCATAAGGCCGTCTTTTGACTTTATATGTGGCAATA